GCTTTGTACTTTCTATATACAATTTTTGCACTGCCATACTATAACCATAGAGGTAACTCTAAGACTAGAAGGTCCCGAAATAACGTGCTCAACTTTTTGGCTCAGCTCTGGTACTCTCTTCGGTCCCAAGCTAATCGAATCACCCCTCGAAACATAGGAAAATCCACTAGCCCCTCATTTTATCTGCCAAACTTTCATAGCGAATCAAAACAAACATTGTGTAGTAGTAGAATTTTGACTAGAATGGGGTACGTTAATCGTTTGCTTGGGACCAATAGGCTAGTCAAGTAGTGAGCCAATTTAAAATCGTTAGTTTCGTATTGATTGTTGCTATAACGCGAGCTATAACGGAACTATCAATTCTTCATTCTTGTAAAGATTTTAATGAAAGAAGCGCTTTATATCTCAAATATCCAACCTTCTGGGAGTTTTGGAAATCTAGGTAATTCATCAGGCTGTATGCTTTTCGTTTTCTATTTTACCTATATAATTACAACAAAAAAGTATAACTTTAAATAAAAACATAAAAAAAACAGGCTTGACCGCCCACGGTAGCTGCTCTGTTATTACCAGATCAGCTGCAATTACACAGAGAACCAACAGATGATGTTTGGGACTAACATTCATCCTCAATGTGTAAGAACTGGTGATCTAATATTTAGCAATACCAGCGCCGGCCGTGTCCGAATGCAGGTCAACTAGGGAAAGGGAAAGAATGTGTTGACGTGGTACTCGCTGTGAAGGAAACCGAGAAATCCTCTGCGTTTCCACGAGAAATCACTGGGATGTTGGATGTGGGGAAAGGTTGCACGCACACGCAGGGATCGTTTTTGGTAGAGCGATTATAATATGCACAAACACACACACACACAAACACACGCGCGCGCACTCATCCAATTTCTATTTTTAGATCAGGACCCACACTGTGGTAAGTGATGCGATCGGTGTTAAAGAAGAATTTGTTTTCATTAAAATCTAGTGGGTATAGAATAAGGCAAAGTGAAAAATTGCAAGGAAGGGGACGGGCCTGGGATTGAACTCCCGATCTTCTGCTCAGTAAGCAGAAACGGTAACCACTGAGCTACCGAGCCTCGTCAACCACAAAAAAGCATAACTTTACTTAATAAAGTATGAAGCTATCAATCACCCATGATTTTACGCAGTCAATAATAGGAAGTATGCATTTAGACTATGCAGTCCAATAAGGGTTTTGCAAGTTATTTTTTTTTAATTAAAAATATGCTGAGGACCTTCTCAAGATGCTGCAATATAATATAATATTTTCAAACCTGGAAGTGTGTATGTAATACTAATATCCAATTGATAGAGGTAATACATACATGCGGGGCTTATTGTAAGTGAAAGTAGCCTCGGAATAGACGTGACCTAGGGGCAAGACAGCTCCTAATCATGAGCAATTTCGGAGTTGCTTTTGATGCACCTCGAGTAACTCACATTGCTCAGTGAGAAAGATCACTGTCATATGCTTTCTCACTTTTCGCATCACAGTAACACATGAAGGTGCACCTTCTTGCAAAGCCGAAAAGCTGCTGTCAATCAAAACAAAAATAAAAAAAAAAACATATTTACAGAACTCAATAACTCAGCGAAACACGGAGACACTTAAATTGATTGATTTGATTATCCTGCATCATCTCTGCTTAATAACCTTCGTTCAACCCTTACCAACTGTGAACGTGAACGGAACCTATTGCTGCCTAGCTGCCTTACACTTACCAAGGGCGAATGCTTGTCCGGCTTGATATGGTGGAAAAACTCGATCTGCCTGACCAAATACTCAAAATCCGGCAAATTACGTACCCCGCACGTAATACAATACTCGTCGAAGCAATCCCGTTCTCATGGCTTGGCAAACTGCCGCTGGATGAAACTGCGAAACGAGCTCTGGACATCCATCCTTCCTCTTTTGGTGCTTCTGCTGTGCCTTCCGGATGATCGTGATACGGTCCCGTTTCTGAGATACACCTCCGTGATTTTGCTGAGACCGTCGACGGCAGTCTCCTTTAAAGTAGAACATCACTACACACGTGTGTTCTTCGGTTTCTCGTTGTTTGTTTGTTGCCGTCGGACCTGGATTGGTTTTTAATCGGTTGTTGCCCCACCGGGGAGATGTTTTCTAAATCGGAAACTGTAGTGGCGGATTTTATTGGAGGGGCCACGGCTGGAATATTGCTCACCACGCTATGTTTGATGTGCTGGTGAAATTCCAGATGTTTAGAAGAATAGCTATTTGGAGAGCTTGTTTGATCAGCGATGATCCTTTTGAAGTGACCACTGGGACTGGCTGCTGAGGAGGAAGAACAACTGCTGAAAGCTGGCTGGAACTGCAAGTTCTTCCTGGTAGTAAGCAGGCACCGGCACAGGTTCTTCCATAATATTCAAGGTATTCGAAAGCCTCAGGATACACTTGAGCTTACTTTGTTTACAAACAAAAATGACGTCTAATATAAGAAGCATATTCTTAAAGGGAGTAAACGGAGTAAGCAGAGAAAAAATCGATGAACGTCGATTAAATATTGAGGTACATTGAGTTACTCGCTGCAAAAAAGCAACTCAGAGTAAACCTGTTTCACCAACAATCAATACGAAACTAACGATTTTAAATTGGCTCACTACTTGACTAGCCTATTGGTCCAAGCAAATGATTAACGTATCCCATTCTAGTCGAAATTCTAGTACTACGCAATGTTTGTTTTGATTTGCTATGAAAGTTTGACAGATAAAATGAGGGGTTATTGGTTTTTCCTATGTTTCGAGGGGTGAATCGATTAGCTTGGGACCGAAGAGAGTACCAAAGCTGAGCCAAAAAGTTGAGCACGTTATTTCGGGACCTTCTGGTCTTAGAGTGTAACTATGGTTTCACCCCTTGGCTATCACCTTCTAACTCCTGTCTACAATGACCATAAATGCGGCATTGTAGAGAGAGTTCTTCCATAATAACACTGCCGGCCAGTGGGGGTTAGAAGGAATACACACACACACACACACACACACACACACACACACACACACACACACACACACACACACACACACACACACACACACACACACACACACACACACACACACACACACACACACACACACACACACACACACACACACACACACACACACACACACACACACACATATCTGCCAGAATGACGCACGGTAGAGAACTGTCAGTCAACCTTCTCCTTCGCACGGAGGGGCTAATCTTCGAGTGCCACTTCCTTGAAGCGGATGAGCGGCAAACAGCTCGTTGGTTGAATATTATCACGACTTTTTTCCATCCTTGACTTGAAAATGACACACAATATCAAAAGTCATAAGTGTAGGGTTGCCAAACTCGTGGGTTACTGTGACTGATTGCCACACTTCGGCACATTCAGCAAAACGCTTGACCTAGCTTTCGGCACAGATAAAGTACTCGGCACAGATTGGAATGTGCAAATTTGAATACCCCTTGGAAAAAACACATGAAATGAAGCTACGACACGATTCTACAAAAAAAAAAAAATGAGCATTTGAGCTGTTTGACGTAGCTTTGTCATGATGTGAGAACATGAGCGTTGTACGGCATTTATTTCGAATGCAACTTTTGATTCAGTTTATCAGCTGATTACAATTCTTGGCCCTCCAATTGTTTTTTACACCACCGCCGGAAGACGACTGCTTCAGGGTTGACTTCTCTGTACTGATGGAGTTGGCTGTTTGTTGAGTCTTGCCCTTTTCTCGGGGTCTTTAACCTGCGTGTTTGTCGCAACCCGCAACCACCGGAATGGTGGAAGTCCTATCTTCTTCAGTGATGTGAAATAAACAAAATTTACATCTCTCTTTTAGGGGGATTAATCGCAAAATATATACTTTGAGAAGCAGAAGATAAATTCCCCCAGAAACTTCTCCAATGAAAACAACCCTCTGAGTCTTAGGTTAAACATAATTTCCGCCTTAGCTTTTGGGTTCAGGAAAAATCGTGAACGGTTGGTAAATGGTGGCGTGATGGGAAACAAGTAATTGGAACTTCCGTAGAAGAATCTTAAAATGCATTAATGTGGGGTTTAAGAACATTATACACCCCCGGACGATAAGGTCAACTCACTCTGCTTGGATGCTTTTTGAAACATACAAAAGATCGTAAATGTTTAGTTTTCTTCTTCTTCTTCTTCTTCTTCTTCTTCGCATTTCAAGCTTATTGCATATCGCATATTAGCTTATTGCGTGCTCTCAACTTAGTGTTCTAGATGCACTTCCACAGTTATCAATTGAGAGCTTTCGATGCCTGTACCATTTTTGCATTGGTATAATTGTGTGGCAAGTCCAATCATACTTCTATGCCCAGGGAAGTCGAGAAATTTTCCAACCAGAAAAAATTCCTAGACCGGACCGGGAATTGAACCCAGCCACCTCCAGCATGGTCTTGCTTTGTAGCTGCGCCTTTACCGACTGAGCTAAGGGAGGCCCAAATGTTTAGTTTTCTAAGTTCTTTATCCCGAAAAAAAAAATCCCATACAGATAAATACAAACGCCACTTAACTTTACCTTCATTTAATATGCTCATAAACAGATTGTATTTCACAACACACTAGCACCACTACTCTACTAGATGAATTCCAAGCCAGGAAAAAAAATCGATACCAATATGCGTTTCACACAACATCAACCCGAGTCCTCAGCATCAGGGCGACTAATGAATAGGAAAATAAAATCCACGATTTACTACAACCGGAAACGAAACAACCATGCATGCAGTCAACGAAAAGCTAAATAGAGTAACTAAATATGCAGTGCCACAATAGTACCATGGTCAGGGGGAACGAGAGGAAAACAAAAATCATAAATAAACACTGCGGGGGGTTTCCAAGGTTTCCGGCTCTGAATGTCCGAATGCTGTTTCTGTGGATCCCTGGGGATGTTTCTCACTACATATACTATAGCGGTAGTAAAAGCATTCATGCGGTGGTGGCGGAGTAACCCTGGCAATAAACATTTACCGTATTCATGAAGAGCCTCGACATTGGAAAAGTTTATCTTGTGTCCTCGCCTCTCAAGGTGCTTCACGGCGTTTTTTCTACTACTGGTCTAGGTATGTGGGCTGCGGGTGCAAAGTTATAAAGCCGTGGGAAAACAGATTTTCTTGCCTCAGAAAATAAGCCATTCGTAGCGAAACATAATTGTATTTTTTTTATATTGCTGATTGTGTGCTGTGAGGCGTAAAATGAACCAATTTTTATCGAAAAATGAAAACAAAATTCCGTACACTTTGTGAGCTTTTGCACTGAAATTACCACTTGCACTTGATCACTTTTCACACAGATTTTTTCAGAACACTGATATTGAACAGGAAAATTAGCTAAAATCAAATGTCACAGTTGAAGATTGGGCGTTTGGGTGCGAAATAATTATACTAGGTAGGCGGCGAAGGGACGATTTTCAAGATGAGCTGCTGCGAAATTTTTCCACGAATGGAAATGAATGTCGGGTGGATGAAGAGTGCGCACGCAGAAGGATAGTATAGCTGTTGGTATTTAACATGCAACCCGAAGGACTGACACTCGCAAACTGACGGTGCCGCGATTCAGGACTCACCGAAAGCGAGTTGTTTGTTATGGTTTTTTTCCTTTCGTTTTGGGTGGGTGGTAAAGTGGGTGATTTAGAGAGGTATGCGAGGTACTAGAATTTACGGTTTACGTTTACAGTGAGGTTCAGTGAAAATATTTCACTATAGGTTAAATAAATACACTATTATAAGGAAGACGAATAAGAAAACAATTGATTTTTTTATAAGACGAAAATAGGAAGAGATAATAAAAATTGAAGAACTACACACTAGGTAAGGCCTAAATCGCGATTCTAGGGGTGTTTGGATATAATGTGTAACCCCGTTTATCTCCGTAAATAACACCATAATCAATCTAATTTATCTCCGAAAATAAGGCCGAAATCGCTATTTGGGAGGTGTTTGGTTTTACAAATTTTTAAACCCATTTACCTTCGTAAAAATCCATATTTATCCACCGGGCAACATAGGTGAACACAATCGGTAGCGGAATCCCTTTTGTCAGCGATTTACTAATGTAGAAGAGAAAACATTCAGTGTAGTTATTACGGAGTTATTACCCCTCATTTCCATTTTCATACCCCTCACACATTTCAGTTCAGTGTCTGAGTAATAGCGCGGAGAAGGCGACTCCCACTCGAGGCAGACATTGTTAAGCTAGCTACGATCGAATACGGAAGCAAATAAATTCGTTTTAATTAAATCCTATAGAAATTTCAGAAGTGGGATACACCGCGGCTTTATACGTTGAGCTTCGATTCGCTAGTTGGATTACGTGATTTTAAACGGTGTGCGATTACGAGGAGGCTAATTCTCTGTCTAAGACGTAAAAACCTGACTGAGAAGGATGCCCAGACGAAGACGACGACATGGCGTCGACGAACGAGAATACGATTCACAGGAGGAAGAAGAAAACTGGCTGATGAGGAACGCACCGCAAGCTCAATCCCGTCCGCTCCATCCGGAGGAAGTGAAGGCTTTGATAAGCGAATTCAATGGCGAAAATGCTGTTACGTCATGGCTACGCAAACTGGATCATTACAAAACACTCTACAATTGGACCGATGCAGCTGCTCTTTTGTACGCTACCACAAGGTTGACTGGATCAGCAAAACTGTGGTACAACTCTGTGGAGGAGGACATTTTCAATTTCCATGATTTCAAAGAGATGATAGCTGCAACGTTCCCAAACTACGTCGATGATGCCGATATCCATCGAGAGCTGATGGCAGCCATGAAAAGCAACCAGGAAAGCTACGAAGGTTACGTCTTCAGAATGCAGAACATTGCGAGTAAAGGACAAATGTCACAGTCTTCGCTCATCAAATACATCATTAGTGGGCTGTCTCGTGATAAGCTTTACGAGCAAATAGTATCGGCGGAATACCGAACAGTTATGGAACTCTTGAAGCGTTTGAAGTGGTGCGAAGCAAATTTCCGGATGAAGAAACCAAACTACAACGTGGCTCGCATTTCGCAAGCAAGCCGTCCGACAGGTAACGACGGAAGAACAGCAGCACTGGTACCAGTAACATCACAAGCTGGGTCTAGTGATTGGGTTTGTTTCAATTGCAACGCACCAGGGCACAAATCCGTTAACTGCCCCAAACCGCAACGTCGTTCTCGGTGTGCTTGCTGCTCCAAGGTTGGTCATCAGGAGGATACTTGTCCAGACAAGAAGCCGTCAACTTTTGCACCGAAGTTGAGAGTCGCTATGATTTCTGCATCTAATCAGGATCAGCCGGCGGCAAACGAAGGAATCGATACGGATGAAGACGGAATGATGGAAGGAGAAGCGATTATTGGACGACGTCTCAAGCAACTCAAGCTGTTGGTGGATTCCGGCAGTGCGGTAAGCCTAATTAAGCATTCAGCACTGGCAGCTCTAGTTAGATTGGATAAAGAGGTAGCAAACAATCGAGAAATAATAGGTGTGAATAGTTCGAAAATATGTGTTGAAGGTTGTTTAAAAACAAAAATAGTTCTATTCAGGTCCTTAGTTTATGACGTTTCTTTCTATGTTGTTCCTGATGAGACAATGGAAGTTAGTGCAATTCTAGGTCGAGATTTTATGAAACGAAACAATCTATCGGTTATACGATTCTCGGAATCAGAAGAAAAACCTAAAAGTGAATACGACAGTGTACTAATGAACACAGCATTCGGAGAGAATGCTCTAAACCAGTCGGTCGAAGAAGAACTTTGCTTGATTGTTGGTGATAACGAGGAGACTGTGAAGTTCCGTGAAGAAATTTTGCGTGCTTATCAGACCAATTATTGCATCAAGAAGTCGGACTACGGAAAAGCGGTACAATTTACAGCATCAATTCGTTTGCGGGAAGAGAAATATTATAACGTCTCACCACAACGGTTGTGTCACGCAGAGCGAAAGGTGGTAGAGTCAATAGTGGCTGAATGGCTAGATAAAGGCATTATACGTGAAAGCGATTCTCCTTATTCCAGTAGGATTGTTCTGGTGAAAAAGAAAAACGGATCTTTCCGACTGTGCGTCGATTTCAAATCTTTGAATCGGTTAGTTGAACGAGATCATTTTCCTCTTCCGGTAATCGAGGACCAGATTGCAAAGTTAGATGGAATGAAGTATTTCTCTACAATGGATATGAAAAATGGGTTTTTCCATGTGGACCTTACCGAGGATTCAAAAAAGTACACTTCTTTTGTCACGGAAAACGGACAATTTGAGTTCAACAAGCTTCCATTTGGGTACACAAACGCACCCGCCATTTTTTCGCGCTATGTGGCTAAGATTCTGCATCCTTTTGTCAAGTCTGGAGAACTGATAGTGTTTATGGACGACATAATGCTCTGCTCAAAAACTGTGCATCAGCATCTAGATCTTTTGCGTCGAGTTTTTGCTACTCTCAAAGATAACGGAGTGAAACTAAATCTGGAGAAAAGCCGTTTTCTAGTCACTCGTGTTGACTTCCTGGGATACAGCATCAGCTTCAATCAAATCAGCCCTTGTGACCGGCATGTGGAAGCAGTTCGCGAAATACCAGTTCCTCAAAACGCGAAGAGCTTGCAACGTTTTCTGGGATTGATGAGCTATTTCAGGAAATTTATCAAGGGATTTTCTACGATAGCTAGTCCTCTTTACGATCTTCTTAAGAAAGATGCTGAGTATTTTTTGGGAGCACCGCAGTTGGAAGCTGTAGAAAAGCTTAAAAAGTTGTTGATATCGCGTCCTGTGCTTTGCATATATTCTCCAAATACTGATAGGCAGTTGCATACAGATGCGTCATCGCAAGGATTTGGAGGTATTTTGATGCAGCGTCAACGGATTGACAATAAATATCACCCGGTCATGTTTTTCAGTCGTAAAACAAATTCCGCAGAAAGCAAGCTCCATTCTTTTGAGCTAGAAACCCTGGCAATAGTATATGCGTTGAAGCGCTTTAGACACTATGTTACTGGTATTCCGTTTGAAATAGTAACTGACTGTAAATCCCTGAAGCAAACGCTGGAGAAAAAGGATATCAACTCGAAAATTGCAAGATGGGCCATGTTCCTCGAGGAGTTCAACTACAAGGTCGTGCATCGTTCTGGGGAGCAAATGCAGCACGTCGACGCCCTTTCAAGGATGTACGTTCACACAGTTGACTTGGCCAAGGACATCAATGAAGATAATTCGTTCGAGAACGCTCTGTACGTGGCTCAAATTCAAGATCCTGTCATCTGCGCATTGAAAGCATCAGCAACAAATGGAGACTTAAAAAAATACGAGGTTCGAGATAACTTGTTGTTCAGAAAGGAGAAAAACCGTTTATTATTGTACGTGCCTCAAGCAATGGAAGATTCTGTTGTATACCGATTCCACGACTCAATGGGGCATTTCGGAAAGGATAAAGTTATAGAATTGATCAAGCGAGCATTCTGGTTTCCAAATATGTCAGAAAAAATAGCTGAACACTGTAAAAAGTGTATATCCTGTATACTTTTTAATCCAAAGGCAAGGAAAAATGATGGTGTGCTTCAAAACATCGCCAAAGGAAACCGACCATTTTGGACTTTACATGCAGATCATTTGGGTCCGCTAGAGATGACGAAAGGGAAGAACAAGTATATTTTGGCGGTGGTAGATGGATTCACAAAGTTCGTGAAGCTGTACCCAACAAAAACAACCAACTCCAAAGAAGTAATGAAACATCTGAAATCATATTTCATCAACTACAGTACTCCAAGAATCCTTATCACTGACCGTGGATCTTGTTTTACATCGCAACCGTTCAAGCAATTTGCGGATTCCCATGGATTTTCGCATACTCTTGTAGCAACAGCATGTCCTCAGGCAAATGGCCAAGTCGAGAGGTACAATCGTACACTGCTTCCAGTATTGGCTAAACTTGCTGAGTCCTCTAAGACGTCCTGGGATACTGTGCTCATCGATGTTGAGTATTTTCTCAACAATTCGATCAACCGAGGAACTGGGTCGATTCCATCTAAGCTGCTGTATGGAGTGCAACAACACCGAAAAATTAACCATGATGCCGTTCAATACTTCCAGGACCTGCTGGAGTCATCTGATCGGCTAAATCTGGAAGATGCACGGAACATGGCAGCCGAATGCATACGAAAAGTGCAGGATTACAATAAGAAGTGTCATGATAGTAGAAGTCTCAGGACTACATTCAAGGAGAACGATTTGGTAGTTATTAGAAGTGTACCAGTAGTCGGGGAAAACAAAAAGCTAAGGCCTCGATTCAAAGGGCCTTACCGAGTGAAAAAGGTTCTTGATCAGAATAGATATATTGTGTCAGATATAGATGGGTATCAAGTGTCGACGAAACATTTTGAGGGAATTTTTGATCCACAGAATATGCGAATGTATAAGTCACATGAAGCTGGTAGTAGTTCGGATGTAGATCAAGAAGTTGAATCCGAAAGCAGTGATAGAGAGGATTAACGCTAGCTTTTATCTATTTCAGGACGAACATGAATTTGAATAGCATAACGAC